TTTATCACGAAAAACTAAAGGAAAACCAAACTACGAATATTGTTTCGATTGGCTAACTATCTCATCCTACCCTGTTAATTACGACTTCACACTAGAATTCTGGAAATTTCATCTTGAAGATAGTCATTGGAGAATACACAGTGAAAATATAAAAAATAATTTCCGGTAGACTGGTTTAGCATTAACTCTCTCATAATCCTTCATTTCAATCTAACAGGATTCTACCAATTAGAGCATATTGATGTCTTATACTATTTGGTATTCAGTGTCTATGTCGCTTGGTTTCATTGACTTTGCCTATTGTTGTAATCTGTGTCTTAACTAATGAATATGGTATTCAGAATAGGCATCTTTCTAATAGGTTTGATGTGGATAATTATAAAATTCAGACGAAATCGTTACATATGATATTAACCGTTCGAGTACTTTATTTAAGTTTGTTCCTGTTCCCAACTGATCTTACACTTTCCTAGTTCTGTGTTCAACGTTCAGGCACTTTAAATGAGCTAGTTATTAGTCAACGAAAATTGAAAATGTCCCTTATCGCAAAATGAATGGAGAGTTTAAAACGGAACAATTATAGCAATTTTTGCAAATGGCAATGTCTGCGAAAACTAGTTTATTTCGTGCTTATTTTTGTTGAGTTATACACCAAACAGAAGTGTGGGACGATATCTCAACTACAATTCAGACATTAAATTATTTGAATGAATATGTTTTGTGCTGCAAAGCACTCACATGATTTTGCTTTACTCGATGCCGATTGAGGACCACATTTTAAAATAATGCCTTATCTCTTAAAATTTGATTGATCACTGGTCAGTGACCATTGTTTTGCATGTCTTACAAATCCTTAATTTTGATCGAATTCACCTCTGATCTGTTCGATGGGAATTAGAGCATCGGATTCATGTTGATTGCCCTTGTATTTTGTTCCTCACAAGAAAAATTGATACGACTGTGTGGCGATTTCCGATGAAGCTTCTAAACCTGAAATCGAAATAACGAACAGATGCATAACTGAACAAGATTCGAGAAACAAGCTTCCATATTCCCTAACTATTACAATCCGTCTCATGAGAGGTTATCGTTTCACGAGAGATTTTAGCCTTTCTAATAAAATTTCATTATTATTGCGGCTGCCTTAGCAGTTAACGCGACAGTAATTTGTTGCACAACAATTCAGTATAAAGGAGTGATCAATATTAGACCGGTAATTTCACGGTTCCAAACGAGTCTTGTGAATTTAGGTGTCGCTTGATCAACAAAACAAACAGCTCAACAAAATGTTATGTATTTGATTTATTGATAAAACACATCCGTGTTTACTATCGTTTATGTGCATGGCTGACCCGTTAAATGGTTGAGTGTCGCATTTACTTATAACTTCCAATCCCGGTCGCGTGACTTCACCGTCAGAATTGTCGAACCTACGTTGTTCAGTCAACAATTGGCTATTTATATACTCAAATCACCCAGTGAGTAGAAATTGATATCGTGCAACCTTCTAGCTCATAATACTGATTGGGTGCTCTCGATCATGCTCTGAATCGAATATTCTCTGTTATGCATCTCAACTACTCGATAAGAGTTCGTCGTTGAACTGATTCACTTATATCACTCGATTCGTTTTCACATTAAATTACATTCAGATATTACCTTGGTGTATTCTTCGTTCAAACCACAGCGTATAGGTAAAATGCATCTTCACTAATGTTATTACAAGTGAGTAATTAATGATCTCCACAATTATTGTTCACAAGATTGTTCTAACCCCGAATATTTAAATGAACTTCACGTGATGATATTTTCGAACGAGTTGTCAATTGTGAATCGTAGCAGTTGAATCGGATTTCTATGTCTCTCACAATTCAGTCATTTTACAAATGCAGAATTTTCATTGATTTAGTACAATTATATTGATCAATGATATGAATATTTCACTTGAAGTATGTGACCTTGACTGATTGTTTGTTTTTTCACTTTGTGGCTTATTTTAACAATAGACTAATGATGGAACTAAATAAATTGGATTCATCAATAATGTGTTGTAGACGAGAAATATTCACAGATATTTTATTCTGAGTTAGTAAACTGTCAAGGTATTTCTATATCATTAACATATTTGTGTATGTTGATTGAAGTTAACTATCGTGTTCCACTATCACCAAATTACGCTTTCATCTCTCATTTCACGTTGACTGAATACTTAATGTGTGTTCTTCAAGTACTCATCATCACTTGATGCAACAACTATTCAATACAAACCTGAATACGATCATTGGAACAACTGATGAATACAGTGCTTATCCATACTCAAATTGAATAATCTTGTGTGTTCCCTTAATAGTTGAGATCATGAGTCAATCGAAGCTAGATCACCATGGAAAACCTGGGAGCACTTGACGGCCGTTTCGTCCTGCTGTGGGACTCCTCAGCAGTGCGCATGTACGATCCCAGCCCGCGAGGTTCGAACCCAGAGCCTATCAGTCTCGCGCATGATCGCTTAGCATCTAGATCACTGAGCCTTCCAAGTTTTCCATGGTGGTCTAGCTTCAACTGACTCATGATTTCAACTATTAAGTTTACTATAATATCCACAAGAAGCCCTTGTGATATTAATCTTGTGTGTGTTTTGATCTTGTAACTATAAGACATGTCGTCAGTCACTAACAATCAAATGGAATTCGTGAGACGATTCGGAACAGTTAGGGAATATGGAAGTATGGGAGTTCGTTTCTCGAGTCTCGTTCAACTATTCATCTGTTCGTTGTTTCGATTTCAGGTTTAGAAAATTCATTGGATATTGCCACACAATCATATCGAGTTTTCTTGTGAGCAACAGAATACAGTGGGAATCAACATGATTCCGATGCTCCGATTCTGATCGAACAGAGTAGAAATGGCTTCCACAAGTGACTCGACTCACCGAATTGTTATAACGAAACAACACTAGTGTGAGTGAGGTGAGGAGACACAATGTGGAAATGGTCTGACAGCTCTTGCAAATTGTTCGCACCCACATTTCGACGATCTATGGATGATTAAATACGAGTTATTAGTACCATGGTTCACAAACTAGATCTTCTTACACGGTCAGTTGGATTTCTCTATGGAATTGAATTGAATTGATCAAATGTTGAGTATGTGTATTGGTGACTGAGTGAACATGTGTATTTGGTGTGAAGTTTGACAACGTGATGTGATGTGTTGTCGGTGGAAGGAATGGACAATTTGAGTGGTTAGGTTGATTGAAGAAAACATTATTTTGGTGGATAACTAACCACGAAGCAACACACCAAGTGTATTATACCATATGTAATGAGATTGTTGTAAAGATGTATATGATTTGAAATTGTATACTGTCTATAGTTGATAGTGATCGATGCACTCAACTGATTAGATATTCAATGAATCACAACACTGTGTGAATGATATATATGGTCAAACAAAACGTGAATTTAAGACGGTGCATTACTTAATTGACTAAATATACCAGCTCCTAATATAAACCGTTCGTTAAAGTGCTTAATATGATTCAACACGTGGATAAGAGTGTTTACTGAATATAAGTACTATCCTATCTTTCTTACCCTAACTCTAAATCTAAATACTAAGTTTCTCAAGTTTGTAAACAGAAGGGTGGCGAAGAATCGCATTATAAATGATGTTAGTTCATGATGAAAACTTCAACAGTAATTTTTAAATATAATTCGAAATTCTAGTTTATCTGTCAATACTTGACCCTGAACTTGTTGAATTATAACCGATGTCACGTGGTGATGATAACTCAATGGATTGATAATCCTAACTCAGAATACTATCTCGAACCCTAATATGTGAACTTGACCATTCTCCTTTACTACAAAGAATCATTTAGCATGTGAGGGTTAATTATTAATAAAAAAATCTACTATTCCATCGGTACTTCATTGATTTTTTTATTGTTAATTGTATTGTAACAATGCAGCGTTTGCTGGTTGACAGATAAGTTGCTGTGGGTCGTCATTATTACTGTACTTTGACCCAGTTTTTCTATTAGACAGGTGAAAACAATTTGGGTTGTGATTTAAGAAATGTGGTTATTTGGTGAGACACATTTCAAAGAAGTGTGTTGATCATCGGATCAAATGTTTGTTTATTTTGATGAAGATCTGATAAGGAGTTTATTACTGGGAGGTGGTTTTTTTTATCGAAACCATTTCATGTGACTGATGTGAGGAACTGCAGATTATTAGAGTTGAGGTTAGTCTATGCAAACAAACTGAGTTAACATGTACCCACGACTAGAAAACTGTCGTTATCAGTAGTTCTCAATGATCTTATCTTTTGTTTGCCACACTTGGGAGTACGATTGAAAAGCAGAGTGCAATAGATAGTTTTCTTCGCTATTAGTGAACTCGTAAATGGTACAAACTAAAAACCTAAAGGATTAGTGGATCTATTTGGTTGATTTCATCGGTTGACATGTCCATCTTCAATCAATTCTGGATAAAGCGTGACGATAATCCAATGTCATCATATTTTATATTGAGCAACGAAGTAATGTATGAACTTTTTAACCAAACAGACGATCAGTGTTAGTGTTTCTCGCAATCATTTCAATTTGATAAAGAGATAATGGCAACCTAAACGACGAATTTCACACATCAGGAAATTTTTTTAATCGTCCTTAACTACGGTCTCTGTTGATGAATTTCATTTAAAAGTAAAACTGGCTAAATTTCCTAAACGACAAATGGTGGACAGCAACTCTTTCTGTACCTCCGGAAGAATGATTTTTAAAAGATATCACCCATGAAGGCATTTTGAAACTGTTCAGAACGGTAACAAGTAAAACACAAATAATATATTTGGATTGTGATTGTATGATACATCAAATATGACATCAATGAGTTCATAATTTGAGGTAACTGGTATAATCCATTTCTGTCTTTCCATACGCGTTCTGACGTTTGTCAAATTATAGAAATATAATAATTTTTTATCTGTTCATATCATCAATCTAGATAACACAGTACTTCATAACTCTTCTCCGAATGTTCCTCGCCACCCCATGGAAAATATGCGCAACCATGTGATGGATGGACTTTACCAACACACATCTCATTATTCACTAATCTACGAGCTATGTATAAAGGTTCGGATGACTGAGTTTCACCAGCATGTAATGCATTGTTTGGTACATTGCCTCCAGTATATGAAACCCATTCATAACTAGATGAATGAACAACGGAGAAAACATATTATTTATGCAAATGCTTATAAATATTTTGAATGGCAAACTGCAAAATTGAATATGGGAAAATGAAAGAATCCGATAGAAAGTGGTTACTTAAGAAAAACACTTGGATAACTGCACAACATGTTTGTGGTAACTCTCAATTGTCGCATTCCGAATATGAAGGCAGTTAGTAAGCAAAAGTGGAAATCTGTTTGTAAAATGAAGACGCTATCACAAAAACAATCAGTTCGAAATAACAACTGTAGAGTTTTGATGAGTGCGTTAACATAGAACACTGACTATCGATTAAATGGTCAGTAGTTTCGAAATGGATGTCATTCTAAGCCACTCAAGACGTGTAATATTAAGTAAATAATGCGGTCAGTTGTAAATGTTAATAAATATGTGCAAAATTTTGGAGTTTCACATCACAGAGTGACACTGGTTAGACAAGCATTGGAATCCTGGAAGCCTCAGATAATCGGTGTTCACAGTCTAAATATTTGTATAGGTCGATCAAGCGAATATTTGGATCTGATACTTTATCTGCTTTGAAAATGCTGCATAATGTTCATTGTATTGTTCTCGAAACATAACATAAATACCAATCAAATTTCAACTAAGTCGTAATAAAGTTAATGCGATGACAAACAGTTCAGTTACTCTGTATAACATCATCATGCATAATTTCCATTAAATAAATCGACCGATACAATACACACTAAATCATTCAAATAAATTCTCATCTGTGTATCCGATTCGTTATTTGATTACATTACGAATAATTCATATATTCTCAGTAGATATTTCACTAATCTTCATTAGCCAACTTAAACTAATGATTTTTCGTAACAAAGTATTAAGATACTTGAAAGGATTATCAAGTTAATACATTCCGCCTACATCTATTTATATGCATTTGAGTTATTGCCAATGTAAACAAAAATGAATAGATTTTATTCATTTGATAGAACATAGATACACATAAGTATGGCGTGATTGTGTTATTAAATTAATGCTGTGTGAATTCCATATTTGACTTCATGTCAACAAATATTAATACGTACAGTTCTGAATTGACTGACTAATTCAATACCATTCTATATTTGTAGTTCAGCTGTTGAGACCAACTGATCATATCAGAATTTGATAGTAATGTCTTTCCGTGATGTATTTGGTGGTAATTATTTTAAATGCCATCATAAATGGCTTATTCCTATAACTTAGAGTGTTAATCAAAAAGAACTCTTAGTTGAAGTAGTCTTATTGAGTGAATTGAGAGTTTCAAATCTGACTTATTTATGTGTAGTTATAAGCATTTTGGTTAAGATTTTATCAAATTGATCCCTCGTATTGACTGATGAAATGTAAAACTATCGGTCCATGGCTTGATGATTCAACTGGGTCCATGAATCAACTATTCTTAAAAGACAAAATCAAATGAGTTGGACACACGTTCGAATTTTTTTTACTTAAATGGTACAAGTTACTTTCATTTACTTACAAGTGTTCTGTTGGCTTTAAACTTGTGTTGCACAACACTTCGAAACTGTCCAATTCAACTTCTTTTCCACCATATGGTACATAACCTTTACCAAGATATATGGGCCATTTTCCAGGTATCACATCATCATTAACTCGACCACGAATAACGTAGATATTAACATCAGCTTCAACAGCATGTGGTGGAGGGGTTTGTTTAGCGTAGGCGGGTAACCATGATAGATGTGCTTGTCGTCCAGACTGCTGCCACATTCTTTGGCATGTAAATAAAATGCATAGAATGAAATAATTTTTTGAGAAATAGATTACTGAATCTTTATAAGCCAGATTTATTTGTTGAGACTTTCGATCAGCTATATATCACGTTCCTACCACTATTACTAAGGAGGTACTTAATTTTGAACTAATTTTCTTATTATTTGTGGTTGATTTTTTAAATACACAAATGAATTTACTGTTACTGATAATATTAATGAAGTTTTTCATCTTAACTAAGTTCACAAAGCCAGACATCATTCAGGATTTACAGGAAATAAGTAATAGGTGACTAACAGAAAAATCGTAAATACAAAACGTTGAGAAGTCTTACTTATTGAGAAACAGCTTCACGAACTTCACAAGTTTTCTATGTGAGGTTACATCATTTATGAATACTCTTATTTCGACATTTTAGTTAAATCTATTTTTCTTCTTCCTACAGCATAACTCTTGCCATTCTTTTTGTTGTCAAGTTTTACTTCTGTGAGTTTCTGCTGAAATCAATATGTACTCTGAATGACTGATCAACATTTTTGTCTATTTTTGTTCAGTCCTAGTACTCCAGCTTGATACAATTATGTGCTGTTTTCCAACAATCAGCTTGTTCATTTTTTTGTATTTCATAAATCTGAAGGACCCAGTGTTTCTTTAGCTAGACTTTAATCGGTGTAATTGGCGTCAAAATACGTCCTAATTTTCCGCATTATGTTCCGTAATAGTATCGTACTTTCCGATAACTCTAGTTTGTTATCATCAGTCCGGAAACCTATTACAAATCATATTATACAGTCAGTCAGTCAGCTACAACGTAGGACCAGGCACATACATGCATCAGTCCAAGTTGCCAAACCACATTAGCACAGCAGGAAGAACACCGGATTCATAGAAGCAGTTAACTCAAAGGTGAAGTATATAAAGAAAAGATTTTATGTAAGGATACAGTACAGAAAGAAAGATATGAAATAATTTTAATTTCATAGTTTAAGGGAAGACAGAAAGTGTATACATCTACGTCATTGTGATCGACTCTGAGCCATGTCACACGGAGTCTCCAAACATTGGTTACGATAGACACGCGGACCCCAACCGAGTAGTCTGCATCTACCAATATGGCTAAGACTAGAAGTTAGCGACTTCAAGCACTGATGCCACGTTTCGGTTTGGCCGCTCCTAACATTCTTTCAACCATTCCCAACACTAGTCAGCATTGCCCGTCGTAGTAATCGGTTTTCATGCATGCGTAACACGTGGCCCAACCAACTCGGTCGATGAGGGTTCACAACCTCATCAACTGATTTACCATCATTCCCTAATATCCTGCGTCTAACCCCACTATTACTTACCCGGTGGTCCCAGCAGATGCTGGCAATATTTCTAAGACATCTGTGATCAAAAACTGGTAACTTACGAGTATCTTCTACTCTTAGTGGTCACGTTTCGCAGCCGTAAAGTAGAACAGAGAGAACTGCCGCGCAGTATACTCGTCCTTTTATTGATAGACGTATATCTCGCCTTCGCCATAGATGACGTAAGTCGGTAAAAGCCAAACGAGCTTTTCAAATCCGTGCTGAGATTTCGTCAGACACCAGTCCATCAGGGATGCAAAAGCAGAAGACTGTAGCAACTGTCTTTAAATAAATACCACAGCATAATCCTTGATAAACGTGCGTATGAACAGTTATCTAGGGAAATCTACTTTATGATTAAAAGGTTTGAATGTATCTAATAAAGTCAATTTTAAGAGTGAGTACTGTCCCATGATATTACTTATGGATCTATTGTAAGGTGATACATGATCTGAGCTGATAACCAATAATTTTTATCACAAAAGAAATATGTGGTTGTATTCAAAAGAGAAAAATCTAATGGTCACTCTTCACTGAATACAGTGTTTAGATAAACGGAATTTCGCTAAATTATCCAAAAGTATTCGAATGACAGTTTCCAGTTAACAGGTCATTCTAATCGTAATACATTTTATAATAGATGATTTACCAAAATGTTTGACATTCACGATCATCAAAACATTGAAGATGAGTTTCAAACTCGACAAATCCTTCAGTGTTGGAAAAGTAGTCTGTATGCATTTGTGGTTCACAAGCACAAGGTATTTTGTGTAAGAAAAGTCAATTCATTAAAATCAATAATCCAGTCAATAAACTAACCTCTCAATGAGTTATGTTTGAATGGTGAATATATACAATGGCATCGCGCTTATATATAGATATATATATTTATTTATTTGTGATTAAGCTCAATATGTAGTAGGTGGCACAACGTGATTTAGTCAAACCAATATTAAACAATATAAACTATTAACCAATCATAAATTGAGGTCATTTTCGTCTATTTGTGTGTAATTTAAAAATCAATCATTACAATTCAAGAACAACAAATACTAGATTTATAGAAGATTCGATAGACCGCTTTTTAAAGTGCTTCAGCACAAAGTATAACTATGAAATGTAGAAATAGATTACTAGATCATTACAATCTTCTTCATTTCTTATCCATTATGAATACGGGAAATTTCGTATCACAAAGCATAGTCTACTTTTATCATTAAAGCATCGACAGGGAAATTGAACATTTGTATATCTGTGCAACATAATGAATATATATTTAGATGATAGCACTGTGCCGATTTTTCACCGCCATCAGGTTAACATTCGTGTTTGGTTAACTATGACAAATTTTAAGTGAAACATTTTCAGTATAAAGATTTGCGTAAAATATTGAATATTATTGATATCACAAACCGATCTGAGTCAGACTTTCATTGAGAAATAAGAGTCACTGGATAGCTCTTTCGTCACAGCATAAGACTTCCCGGTAGTGCTCATTCACGACTATACCATCGTGGGGTCGAACTTAGGCCTGTTCGTCCCACGCTCTAACACTTAACCTCCTGAAATTGCTGTGTGAAGGATGGTTCTGCTATGTTTGAAGAAATTACGAAATCACCTAAGATCGGTGAACGGAACGAAGGATCAGCAACACAATGAAAAGACAAGCTAAACTATTCCAATGCGTCTCAGCCCCGCTAACTAGAGTGAGAAGTCCAGGTTCAAGATGAGAAAAAGTGTATTCCATAAGCAGCCAGAAGCACAAACAACAATAAGCACACAACCCAAGCGTACATAAATAGCATAAAAATTTCCTTGGGAAATGTCACAAAACAGCACGTCCAAAAACAACAAATTAAACAGAATAACGTGAATTCATTTTATTTTGTTAGACTCTAATCAGTTGCTTACAACCTATAAATAATGTGTTAATGATTTTATGACAGGACAAAGGCTCATGAGTTATACTAATGAACGTATCCGATTACATCACTTAAGTCAAGTTTATGCTAAACGACAATCTGAAATTTACGGTTGACAAATACAACAAAGACTTAACTGACTCAATAAAAAACGAGTTATGAACATATTCAGGGAGCTGTTGAGGAAGAAAATCATTGAAAAATTTCATTACAATGATCTAAGGCCTCTTGGATCTCGATTAAGGCATATGAATGGCCCACCAAAAATTCAAAAACGTTCCGTCCAGCTAATGGCTATTTTTTCAATGGTTAATTCATCATGCCATCTCGCTAGCTAGTGGAAAAGTTAGAACTAGTTCGTCAAAGCTTAACCTCCTGGTAAGTCGATGACTTCATTTGATGCAACATTTTTATTTAACAAAATATCGCTTCTTGAAACCATAGACATAATTTGCGAGCAATCGAACTTCCAACCCCTACAAGTATCAGAACTCAAACTCAAAAACTTATGTGTACAGAAGATGTTCAGTTTCAAATTGACATCATATACCATCAAACTGATCATATAGCAATGGGAAGTCCGCTTGGTTCTATCTTAAATCTGTTCAGAGCTAACCTTAGGAAGACTGAACTTAGAGGAGTGATCGAATTAATGGTTTATTATGAGAGGTGTGTTGAAGACACTTTTATTGTATGTAATGATTTACAAGTAAAATTGATTCTGAACCTTGCCAACAACGCACATAAAATATCCAGATTACTATCAGCACATTAAAAGAACGATAAATCCTACTTTCTCGGCGTTGCCTTACAACTGGAGAATGGTGTAGCTTAACGTTCAGTTTATCGAAAGGATAAATGGAATGGTGTTTATCTGAATTTTAACTGTTTCTGTCAAATTATTTACAAAAAGGCACTTATCAAAATGCTATTTCACAGAACGAAAAGGATATGTATTTGTTACATCTTTGATCTATTTGTCCAATAATATACAGGATAGAACTTGTCTGGGTCTAGGTTAAGGCCTTGACACGAAAGGCTAACTGGTTTAACCCTGAAGCTAGAAATGCGTGAGTCCGAATTGGGACTAACGACCTTGGACAGACAGACGAAAACTATTCTGTCATCTGATTGGTTAACAGGCGGGAAAGAAGACGAGTCAACTGGGACACTACTCGAATTATTCTTGATGTAGCCAAATATAAAAAGATATATGAATAAATAGATGACTATCACTATAACAACGCTCAAACAAGTTTTTTTTTAAATGTGTTTAAGCTAAGCGTTAGGGTAGAAAAAATCGAATACGAAAGGTTACGTTCAAATTACACTAACTTTGGAATAGAACGGCGTATGCATCAAACGGAAGTTTATGCTTTATAGAATCACCAGGATCAAAACAAAGTGCTAGTATCTTACTAACTTTGAATTAAGTGAAATAATGTTCCCCAAAACAGCTTTCGTTGTTCGTCACGGCTTCTTTATTTCTCTGTTCACATTGGTACTGCGATACACTAGAAGCAGAATTAATAAACGATAAAGAATCCCTAATGAACAATGGATATCCAAAGAAATTAATTAAGAAATATGGGAAACATCAAGACATAATGCTTCGAAAGATGGATTTAGATAAAAAAAACCTATTTTTATTCATCTTGAATTCAAGGGTGATGATGTTGCACTGACAATAAATAGTACTGCCTAGAACATGTCCTGCAGCTAGTTGATTATCTTGTATAAAACAACAGGTTCTTTATTAAAATAAAAGATCGATAGGTACTTTCATGTTACCACCAACTGTGTATACAAATTTACATGTGGCTCTATGATGATAAGGATTATTTGAATTATGGTACAAATTAAGAATCCCAGAAATAACGCAATTGGATCAAGAAGTACTAGATAATCACGAACGAATGTACTGTATTCGGAATTCGAAATCAAGCATTCAACAAGTACAAAGGAATCATTAGTTCGTTCAAACACCACAGGCTCCCAAAGCAGTTACATTAGTAGAACAGAAAGCAGGGCCTATATCCGATTTCAAAAACATACCCCAAACAACTTCATGTCAATGGGAGAAAAGGCTACTTCGAAACATTTATGTGGCATCGGGTTACTATACTGAAATCTTTCAGGATCAATAAAAGAACAGTCAAATTCCATTCTCGAATTTACAGAAGCCTTAATTACTTCCTTACGCCTGTTATCCCCCTATGAAGGAGCATAGGGCACCCATCAGTTTTCTCCATCCAACTCTATCCTGGGCAATCCTTTCCAGTTCTTTTCAGTTACTGTTCATCCTTTTCATGTCTGCTTCCAATTCTCGGTACAGTGTGTTTTCAGCCTTCCTCTTTTTCTTTTCCACTCTGAATTCCAACTTAGCACTTGCTTCGTGATGCACTGTGGCGATTTCCTCAATGTTTGTCCCATTCACTTTCAACACCCTTTCCTAATTTTCTCTCCAACTTGAAGCTGGTCTGTTCTCTCCCACAGTAGGCTATAACTGATGGCATCCGGTCAACGAACATTCAGTAACTTACGTAGGCAATTGCCTAGAAATACCTGGACGTTTTTGATGATAGTTGTGGTAGTTCTCCGCTCTTCATCTTCGTACAGTAGGAATATTCTGACGTTCGTATTGAAAATTCTCACTCTGATATTGGTTGACAGTTATTTTGAGTTCCATGTGTTCTTCAACTGTAGAAATGCAGCCCTTGCTTTGCACATCCTTGCCTTTACGTTTACATCAAATCCTCCTTGTTCATCGATGATGCTGCTGACCAGGTACGTGAAAGTTTCCACCTCTTCCAGAGCTTCTCCATCAAGTGTGATTGCGTTAGTATTCTCCCTGTTGTATTTGAGGATCTTGCTTTTTCCCTTGTGTATTTTGAGGCCTACTGTTGC